ATGATTGCTGGAGATTTCATTTTAATGCAGATATTTTTTTGTTTATTTCCTCAGGTGCTGGAGCAACTTGACTCACAATATTTATACTGTAGCAGCGGCAAATGTGAAGGACTTGTAGATCTAGCAGATGTTAGACCACTTGCCAGCCAATAACTTGAAAAGCCAATCATCTCCATGTGATTCTAGATTTTTATGTGTACAATGAGTTTTCATTACTTTCAATCTTTGGTATTTCTGACTTCCAACTCGGATGGATTAACAAAAAAGTCAGACTAGGAGAGAAGACTTTGTGCTGTTCTATTTTCTAGATGGATAGCTGTATGGATTACTGTGTTGACAATTCTTGGATGTATATCATGTGATTGAAAAATGTAATGTGATCATCATGGTCATAACACAAATAAAAGCTTGTTTTTTTTTTTTAAGGCAAAGTATGATTTTCAAAAATCAGTACAGCATCTCTTGTGTGAGGATTTATTTCAGGTTAAGGGAAATAATTAAAAAACATATATTACAGATTGATATATAAAGGTTTACATTTAAGTTGCAAATTTATACACCTCTTGGGATTTAGTCTAAAGTGTGACTTCTTAATTGTCATCTGGAATATTGAAAGAGTCAAATAACTAGCCCCTTCTAGATGTTGAAGGTTTCTTTGGTTTCAATTTTTGGAATATTTTCTCATTTTGTTGGGCCCTGGCCAGATGCAAAAAATTATAAATTGATCATATCAGGATAGCTTCTAATTAATATCATCTATAGTGTTATGACCGTCATGATATTTTGTGATCTCTGAGAATCTAGTTTGTGCGAGATATATTTTTCTTGTTGTTGCTATTGTTCCTATGAAGATTGTGTATAGAACTAGAGACATAGCTAGTACACATGACATACTAAATGATACACTGGGAAATATTTAGTAATTCTGTTATGATAAATTGTCAATAAAGTTGGTTTTTTTTGTTTTGTTAGAAGCTTCAATGCTCTTTGCACATCTGTTACCGGACAGTGGATGGCATTCTAGTCAACAGTAAGCTAGTCAGTGTTTTCTTGTCATTGTTTTGAAACCTTGTACTTGATGACTGTAGAAAACTCTTGACCTTTCTTGTTGTAATGATATCATTGAACGGGACCAACTAAAGAGTCCTAATAAGTCATTTTGTATGTGGCTGTTTATATTTACTGGAAAGAGGATGCTAACAATGGGCACATGTTTGTGGACTGATACGTGCTACATGTTAAATGTAGAATTCTATTAGTTTTTATGGGACAAATCATTGAGTTGAAAATTAAAAAAAAAAAAAAAAAAAAAGCTGTCACATGGTTTTAATTGGCAGTAGTCCAGAAGATACTCAAGTAAAGACATTAATGTATCAAAATTGACTAAAATTGTTCCTAATTTTTCTTTCTAATATAGCCAAAACAGTTGAATTCCATTCAGAGACTGTTTATGAGTTTGTTTGATGTATAAACTTTATTCTTTTGTAATTTCTGTGGTTGTGTACCTAATACTTAACAAGTTTCATGTGACAGTTCCTCGTCGTGTATATACAGTCAAGTTCTTTGCTATCTGTTTGTCCTACTGTTTAAACATTTTGATGCTTCAATCTCATGCATTTCTCCACGGAGGACTTCTTGTCTCTATGTGACTGGACCACACCCGTGCTGTGCTAGTCGTCACTTTGCATAAGATTGTGGCCCATGGACTGTCAGTTTTACAACATATTTTACATGAATATTTGATGTTGATCACTCCTATGTTTAAATAGATTTTTTTTTACTTGATTTTTATTATGTTTTGTTTTTAATGTTTTGGCTACCTATTATTTTGACTCAATTTGATGTTTTCCAATATTTACTTAGGAAACAAGTGCAATGCTTATTTATTTCACACTTATTTAATTTTTATTTTACAAACAATTTATACCTGTGAAGGGAGGGGCTGCATACTTTAAAAAATTTTTTTTTTTTGTGCGTGTCAATTTGTAATAATGTATTTATAAAATATTTGTGCTTATTTATTTTAAAATCAAAATCATTGCTCTATTTAGAGCAAGATTGCTTGCTGTGATTGGCTATTAGTTTCCCCTGACTAGCAATGTGATATAACTAACACAGCAAAAAAAAAAAAATAATTACATTTTCAAAAGGATTATGTCATTTTATAGCCTTGTGAAGAAAACATAGAAATTGATCTTGACAACCATACAGTGCTAAAATATTGGATAAAAAGTAAAAACTGGAAAATGCTTGTAATAAGTAACTTGGGTAATCTATTTGGAATTGTAGAACTCCTGGATGCTAAGGACCTGATAATGATTGAAACTTCGACCCTTGTTTCCAGACTCGCCTGAAGTGGGTATCCGTTATAGGAATTAAGGAGTGGATCACAATGCACACCTGACAACATTCTTTTTCATAATCTTAGCTCTCAGGTGAACTCTGTTAGTCTTAGGATAGGAAGTAATAGCAGTGATCTTTATACAGATCATGACATATTACTGACTGATGCACTTGAAACAGAGAATCTTCAGTCTTGAATTAGGTAGGCTTGCTTATGTCATAACAATGTCACTTGAAATATTTTGATGGGGATCAAGGCCAGTTGTTGCATTTCACATTTTTTTTTAAGTTGGATTTTTTGGCTTTCATGTATTGGCTTATTTCTTTGATATGATCATGTTGTATCTTTTTATTTTTTTTTTTTTTTGGTGTATGTAAAACATTTGAAAATATTGCAGTGTGAATATACGGTTATAATGACTTCATGTTTCAAAACTAACATATTGTCTTGTGATTTTCACATTCATATCTCTATGGTTTATGATTTTGAGAATGTCCTTAAAGATTTATCACGGATCAAGAAATCCTCATGGCCTCATTGAGACTACAGTTGACATCTTTCCCCCACATTGAATGTATTTCATGTCAACCTAATGGCTGTGTGCTTTTCATTCTTTGTGTTTGTGCATGTGTTTCTTAGTTCAATTCTTTTTATGCTAAATATTTTATTTATACAAACATGTACATTTTTTTTGTAAGATTGTGGCTTATACTTGACCTAAGATAAATCTACACATTCACACCTGATGTAGACCCCAACCTCTGGCACTAGTTCGGTCTTAAAACAAGAGGAAGGAACTCTTTAAAACTTTTTTTTCAGTATGATCACTAATCTTAAAAGTTTGCAGTTCACACCTGCTGTAGCATAATTTCAAATTTAAAAACCTAGAATGTTGACTGAATTTAACCCAAATAATCCCCAGATTGATATAACTTGTTTTGCTGGTGTTATAATCTGAGATATTGTGTTTTATGCAATTTTTTTTTTTTTTTGAGTTCTCTAATGTTTCTTGTATTTGTAAACATCAGTATTATTCTCTACATTTCTTTCTATTTCAAGTCCTCTACTTTGATTGACATTTGCCCTTGGTGTAGTTTTAGTTTTCGTCTCACCTTTTGACCCACTTAGGTTAGCATCACCGAGGCACGTCATCCATTTTCCCAGCTCTTGCGACATTTTCCTAGTTTCTTCCATGCAAGTATCATCATTGCATTTCGAACACAAAAACTTCATGAACAGTTTCGCTATTCAGCTTTTTTTTTTTTTTTGGTCATGTGACTCATCAGTGCATGTATGTTGCATTGAGATAACTACTGCAAATGACACTGTCATCTTGGAAGAAATAGGAGATAGTTATTGCATCAGAGAATGAAAGATTATGAACTGGTTGTGGAAGGGAGAGAAGAGGTTGTGGCTTATAGTCTCCCCTTGTTTTGTATTTGTGATTTGTTTTTTCTTAACTTGGCTTGGGCCTCATAATCTTGTACAAAATAATTCTTTTTTTTACTTAACTACACTGACTTTTACTTTGACAACTTTTGAATTGGGTTGTTATTGTTATTGTAATTTTTAAAGAAAATTGACTAGATCCTTATCACTACTACCTTTTATTTTTGTTTTTGTTTTTATTACAATGGAAAGATTTTTCTTTTCAAAACAATTCAATGTATTTTTTTCTGCTATGCTATGAGCCAGGAGAAGTTTTTGCCCCATGAAGATATTTGATGTTTGTTTGGCATCACATAAAGTTGCACCATGCCCATCATCTAGTCATGCACACACACACACTCTCATAAACTTAACTTTTGTATGTCCTAAAGGCACCCTGTGTTTTTACTATTTTGGGTCAGCTCTTTCTAAAATCTATGTTCTACCCTTCCATCAAAACTTAAAAAAAGCATTTTAACATTTTGTGTTTTCCTGATGGTTTTGTTTAGTCAATCTTTGCGGTGTTTGTTAATAGCTACTGACACATTGACATGTATGAACAAATAAGCAATTCTAGTAGTAATAATAGCTGCTTTGGATTGATATGATGAACTTTGATGCTTTGAACATGTTTTTTTGGTAGATGAAGGTTTTTTTTGTTTTTCAAATTGTAATGTAAAACTTTGGGAATTTAATTTCATATGTAACCATTTTATTAAAAAGAAAAACAATTTTTTTTTAAAAACCCCTGACTAAAACAAAAACATTTGGCTGCCCTGTTTCCTTGTTTGTATTCCCTTCATAGGCTAGGTGTTCACATTAGTCTTTAGTTTTTATTTATTTAACGAGAGTAAATTTCTTCTTACCTGTTTGCTGGACATAATTCAAACTACCTGTAGAGATGTGTATTTCATGAGTAGAGTCCTAGTACCATTGGATTCTGTACCATAATTGTGTGTGTGGATATCTTTGTATACATACTTTTTTAAAGTATTACTTATTTACTAGTAGTGATTTTCTTTTAAAGATCTTTTATTCATTAAAAGAAAAATGTTAAAATTTTAAAATTTGTATATAAATTGATGAAGTATTTGTCTGTGTGTTTCTAGATCTTAATTGTGCATGTTTTTTTTCCCTTATTGGAATCTCTCTCTTTCCCTTCACAAAGAAACATGTATCCACAGCTGAACATGACATGGTTATGCTGTTATGAACAGCATGTAGAACACATAAAGTAAAACAGCAGACACTTACTTTGAAGTGCATGTTTTTTTTCCCTTATTGGAATCTCTCTCTTTCCCTTCACAAAGAAACATGTATCCACAGCTGAACATGACATGGTTATGCTGTTATGAACAGCATGTAGAACACATAAAGTAAAACAGCAGACACTTTGTGTGTACATTGAAGTTTGTTTTTATATTTTGCTATTGGACAGTTTGCCAAAGGCTGTGTCGCCCTCATTATTTGTCTAACAGAAAGTGTATAATATTATTCTTATGATTAACTAAGTGTTGTGGCACCAGATAAGCCAAAACTAAATGGCACACCTGAACTGAATGGTTGACAGTTTTGTTCTTCTTACTCTACAAAAGTCTTCTCTGATTTCACTTGTGCCAGATTTAGTGGGAAAAACAAACAACATTTAACTGTGAGGCGCAATATTATCATAGAAGTTAGGGTTGTTATTTTTTTAAAATGGGCTATTATTGTGTAATGTAGCTTCCAGGACAAATGAAACACTAAATGTTTATGTCCAATGTATGGGTTTATTTTAAAATTGTTTTGCTGACACAAGTGAACAAAGTTCAGAATCTCACTGGCAAGAGGCGGATGAATACAATGTCAATGAGCTTGTAGCCTCGATGCAAAGTGGTATATTCCGTATATTCTGATTGAATTCACATGTTAAAGGAAAAGTTTCAGTTAAAAACCAATCTCAGTTGAATGTAAATGATGCCCTAAACAGAAAGATGCTAGTCTGGAAGCATGATACACTACTTCCTCAGTTAACCAAAACAATGTTATCATAACATTTTTGTGTTATCTTTTTAATTCTATTATTATCTTTTTAATTCTATAGCAACAGATCAAAATGTTAATGGTTAACTCATTGGATATTTCCTTTTTTTTTTCTTTCAGTTTTTATGTTCTAATTACTTTTTTTTTCTTAGAGTTTTATTTGACAGCTCTATGTGTCCACTCAGATGAAATAAAACTCCATTTGGCTGTTTGAAGGCTTTTTTAAAAATTCTTTGTATGAACTGTTAGGTCGGTGATTTGACTTTGTGAGTTTGAGATATAAGATGTATGAATCAAAATGTATGAATCACTCTGACATTAAGTTAAGATGAGCTTGAAGATAAATTTAAGATTTATAAATCACTTTGACACTAAGTTATGTTGAGCTCAAAGATTTATGAATCAGTTTTACAATAAGTTAAAAGGAGTTTGAAGATGTATGAATCACACTGACACCAAGTTATTTGAACTAGAAGATTTTTGAATCACTCATTACTCGGTTACCCGTGTAGAAGTTTGGCTTGAAGTCGAGCCCCCCTAATTAAGATTTACTACCATGTAAACAAGCCCACGTCTAGGTACAATATCCTAACGAAGTTCCGCCCACGTCTAGGTACAATATCCTAACGAAGTTCCGCCCACGTCTAGGTACAATATCCTAACGAAGTTCCGCCAACGTCTAGGTACAATATCCTAACGAAGTTCCGCCCACGTCTAGGTACAATATCCTAACGAAGTTCCGCCCATGTCTAGGTACAATATCCTAACGAAGTTCCGCCCATGTCTAGGTACAATATCCTGACGAAGTTCCGCCCATGTCTAGGTACAATATCCGGTTTCTTATTTTACTATCCGACTTCGGATATCAAAAACATGCTACTCCGTTTCACCCCTACATAGAAGTCTTGCGGTTTCATTTCTTATACCGCCTACTATTCTGTCATTAATAAATCTTTTAGGGATTCAAATTAAACATGACCATGCCTCACAAAACTGCCTCCTTTGCAAAGAATAAAAATATACTTTTAAATGGTAATATTCTTTCCATATATTTATATATGTCTACGATTCTTTCTCTCGAAGAGATATTTGCCTAATTTATTTAAAATGCAGTGCAGTGTACGCGGGGTTTGCGCGCTGGACTGTTCGGACTTATCGATGGTCCCGGGTGCATACCCTGCCCGCTCGCATCCCTCGTTTGGATTAAGAAGTAAATTATCTTCTACTCTGAAAGAACATCTGAAACATGTAAAACATTTTTAACTTAGTGATAGACTGTTTTAAACTTCTCCAGTTGTCTTCAACATTTCCATTAAATTCCAATACATCGCACATACCATATATAAGCCTGTTAACTAGCGCATTCTTTCGACATGCCAGGCACTGGGTTACAATAATGTTACGGACGAGACAAAACAATAATATTTACTATCACTGACACTCCACCCCAGGATTCGACTCCTCAAACCTTAATCCTTGAAGGATTACGGGCACGACATGGCCTAAATTGTGCCGATGTGCCAAAAATTCAAAAAAACTCACCTCAAACCTTATAATTCAATCCCAATAAGACAGGATTCATTCTCCCAAAGTAAAAAACCAAAACCCACAAACAGGATCTGACTTCAAGATTCAACCCCCTTAACCTCAGAATTCGACCCTCCTCCACCCCAAAGTGCACCCATTAAACGCTGGATTCATCCCCCCGCACCGCTGGATTCAACCCCTCCCCTATCCACAGGAATCAAACGCCACACAACAGGTCAACCCCTCACCTATCCACAGGAATCAAACGCCACACAACAGGATTCGACACAATAACCTAAAGATTCAACCCCCTCAATCTTAGAATTCGACCCCACCTCCCCACACAATTTATTAATCTTCCTAACTACAGGATTCATCCCCCCGCACCGCTGGATTCATCCCCCCGCACTGCAGGATCCATCCCCCCGCACCGCAGGATTCAGCCCCTCACCTATCCACAGGAATCAAACGCCACACAACAGGATTCGACACCGTAACCTAAAGATTCAACCCCTCAACCTTAGAATTCGATCCCACCTCCCCAAAAAATGTATTCATCTTCCTAACTACAGGATTCATCACACCACACCACAGGATTCATCCCACCACACCGCAGGATTCATCCCCCCGCACCGCAGGATTCGACACTCACAGGATTCGCCAGGATAACCAACACCCCAACCAAATATGTGCTCAAATCCACGAAAAGATCCAGCTCGAATGTATAAGAAGTTACCAAAAAATTAAGAATTGAAGCAATCCTTTTTTTTATATGTAAACCAAGTCCATACAAAATAAATAAGTTCAGCTTACTTTTCAGACCTTGTGATCTATAGGGTAGACGATGTAAAGGTCATCTGTTATGTTTTTTTTATAGTTCGTCCATCGTGGTTCGATGATGACCACTTTTGTTTTGAGCCCGAAATGTTAGGCTGCACACCGGGCAGGTTATTCCAGCCTGAGGTAGTGTCATTGGCTCTGCTTTTCTTCTCTGTCATGTGCCACTGTCTCCCAGATGGCTGAGTCTATGTTGAACGCCTTTAGAGAAGCTTTTAGGCAGGGCCGGTCCTAGCGATTGCGGGGCCCTATGGAAACGGATTGCGCGGGGCCTAATTCTGGGTAGGGATAAGGATAATAAGTGAAAATGAAGATTTTGTATTAAAAAATAATTTCGTCTTTGCATTTTATATATTCTTAACTAAGTACAAAATCACGATCAAATTAACTTTACGAGCCTTGTGTGTAGCGAAGTCATACAGTAGATCATCAAAATTCTGTTTCCTACATAGATCACGCTCAATAGCAAGAATTGCCACATTGTTCAATCTCTCTTCGTGAATTGTTGACCTTAAGTAATTCTTGATTAGTTTAAGACGCGAGAAACTTCTTTCACAAGATGATACATTTACAGTTCAAATATCAGCTACAAGGATTAAATTGCAGTGTTCACAATTCTGTTGAAACATTTTATCCTGTAGCCATCTTCAGCTTTTCGATGTGTGAAGTTTTCACAGATTTATCATACTGCCTTTTCCTTTGACGTTGGGCTGGAAAGATTGCAACAGCATCCATGTTTCCAGCCAACTTCTTTTCGCTGTCACAAGAAGAAACAACAGGAAGAAACTTAAAACGTTCATACACAACCACAAGCTCTTTCACATTAACACTTTCTGAGAGATACCGATAACATCTTCTCGTTGTGACTTATGCCTGGAGTACAATCCAATATCACTGCATTCTTGATGTCTCGAAGGATAGAATTCACAACAGCATCAGCTACTACAGTATTAAGTTCGTTTTGAATCTTCTTTCCCAAGTAACGATCATGAATTTCTGCATTTGTAACACGTCGAAGTTGTTCCCCCATTACTGGATCAAACTTTGCGAGTAATTCTAATAGACTTAACTAGACCAGGAAATTCCCATTACTTGGCTCTTTAAGTCTTTCAATGGTCCCTCTGAAAGCTAAATTGCGCTTCGCTAGAAATTGTACAATTGCAACTAGTCCAACGTTTAGTTTCAGAATAAAGCATCTCCTGGTGAACTTTGTCAATGCCTGTTTTTTTTTACTTAGTCTTGCTCCAGCTTCCTAGCAACTGGCCGTGGCGTCTAAATGCCTTTGACATTTTTCATGCTCTGCTATCCTTGTGGTACAGCTTTGCCACTGGTCAAATCCGTTATTTAAAAAGGAACTTTTTTGTTTTTCCAGTAGACGACAGTAGAAACAATAGATCTTGTCTGCTGACACAGAATATATCAGCCAAGGACGCAAAACACTTTCACCATTACTCAGGTTCGGTTTGCAATGCACTTAAGAGAAATGTCTACCATCCTTATTTTTCGAAAAATTCTACTAAGTAATCTCAGGTGGACCTTTTTGTAATAAATAGTCAACACAAGATCTTACCATTATTTCAAGACACATGGCAGGATAATCCAGATTTCTCAATGAATCGACCACATTTAGCTCATTATCTATAACTACACGTTGATAAGTTGTTACATTATTGCCTTCATTTCTTACGACATGTTGATCAGCTGTTACATTATTGCCTTCATTTCTTACCACATGTTGATCAGTTGTTACATTCTTGCCTTCATTTCTTAACACATGTTGATCAGTTGTTACATTATTGCCTTCATTTCTTACGACATGTTGATCAGTTGTTACATTCTTGCCTTCATTTCTTACCACATGTTGATCAGTTGTTAGTGTTACATCATGTTCTTCTTCTCTTACGACATGTTGATCAGTTGTTACATCATGTTCTTCTTCTCTTACGACATGTTGGTCAGTTGTTACATCATGTTCTTCTTCTCTTAAGACATGTTGATCAGTTGTTACATCATGTTCTTCTTCTCTTAAGACATGTTGATCAGTTGTTAGTGTTGCATCATGTTCTTCTTCTCTTACGACATGTTGATCAGTTGTTGCATCATGTTCTTCTTCTCTTATGACATGTTGATCAGTTGTTACATCATGTTCCTCTTCTCTTACGACATCTTGATCAGTTGTTAGTGTTGCATCATGTTCTTCTTCTCTTACGACATGTTGATCAGTTGTTACATCATGTTCTTCTTCTCTTACGACATGTTGGTCAGTTGTTACATCATGTTCTTCTTCTCTTAAAACATGTTAATCAGTTGTTACATCATGTTCTTCTTCTCTTAAGACATGTTGATCAGTTGTTAGTGTTACATCATGTTCTTCTTCTCTTACGACATGTTGGTCAGTTGTTACATCATGTTCTTCTTCTCTTAAGACATGTTGATCAGTTGTCAGTGTTGCATCATGTTCTTCTTCTCTTACGACATGTTGATCAGTTGTTAGTGTTGCATCATGTTCTTCTTCTCTTACGACATCTTGATCAGTTGTTACATCATGTTCTTCTTCTCTTACGACATGTTGATCAGTTGTTAGTGTTGCATCATGTTCTTCTTCTCTTACGACATCTTGATCAGTTGTTACATCATGTTCTTCTTCTCTTACGACATGTTGATCAGTTGTTAGTGTTACATCATGTTCTTCTTCTCTTACGACATGTTGGTCAGTTGTTACATCATGTTCTTCTTCTCTTACGACATGTTGATCAGTTGTTAGTGTTACATCATGTTCTTCTTCTCTTATGACATGTTGATCAGTTGTTAGTGTTACATCATGTTCTTCTTCTCTTACGACATGTT